AAGTGGAGAAACCGGAGATGGACGAGAATGAAAAGGAAAGAGAAAAAGAGATAGACGATGCTTTGGTCCTCGACATTGTAGCAGAGCCAGGTACGCAGAGTTGGCCGCTGGTGGCTACACAAGTAGCTTGTTGCGTCTAGCAGGAGCAACAACGAAACAAAAACAACTCAGCTTTTTCTAGATTCAGTTTCCCTCCTCCCTGATGAAGCTAAAACAAAAAAAAACCAAGGCAAGCAAAGACACACAAACACAAAGATGCCTGCTGCTGCTGTTCGTGTTTCTCCTCTCTGTTGCAGCGAAAATTGAGGCCACTTTCACAGACCTGTTGAAACACTACCGGCTTCGCCAGCTGATCGATCCATTCTTTATCAAGCCCGATCCACCTGAGAGGGTCGTTCCCCCCCCAAACCTAGAGGAGGTGGGCCCCGTGAATTTCTCTAATAGAGAAGCAGAGCTGGTATGTCTCTCGCAGCTCATTCGTTCAGGGCTCAGAGCTGCACCACTGTGTGTTCTGCAGATCTATGCTCGTATTGAGCAAATAACTTCTTTTGATGGCCCCCCCGAAGGTGAAGAGTGGGAGAACGCCTCGAAGACGTTCCCATTTCTTCCTCCCCTTCCACTGGTGCTGTACGGTGAGGCATTTCAGCTTTTTTTTTTTTTTTTTTTTTTTTTTTTTTTTTTTTTTTTTTTTTTTCTGCAGAGCCCACTCTCTGCTTAGGAGCTCAGGGCTAGCTTCTCTAGAAAGACCAGGACAAAGCTTCACTGCCTTCAGGCTTTCTCCATACTGTGATGCCGCCGATATCTATGCCTTGGTTGCTGCAGGCGACGTGGGAAACTACTGCCCGGTGGCACTGCGCGACGAGAAGTGGCTGCTGCCGGGGAAACCCCGCTTGAGTCTGCAGGTGCGGCAGCGGGTATACATGGTTTTTGACGAGGAAAAAAAATACAAGTTCACTGCTGATACTCGACGCTACCTGCCATCTCTAGACAAGTGTAACGACGCCAATGAGACAAGCACGCTCAAGGTACCGCCCCCCCGGTGAGACTAGAAACCCTATCCTTCTTACTATGTTGCTTTTGTTTTTTTTACTGAGTCTGAGAAACAGCTGCAAAAAGCTAAACATGGCAAACGCCTACAATAGCATGCGTCTCTATGGTGTTTGTTGCAGCATAGCATTTTTGGGTTCGCTGGGCTCGGAGGTAGAAAAGAGAATAAGTCAGCTTAGCGACGAGTACGGGCTGCCTTTCCTAGATCTGCGTTCTGAATTTTCTTTGGCGTTGAAGCAGCAGCTGCTGAGNCAGATGGCTGACGAGCCCGACGGCACACCAGACGAGGCCGATAGCTCCCTGTGGCAGCTGTTGTCTATGAACAGCAACAACTTGCCTGAGGCTCAGACAGATATGTTGAAGCAGATGTGGCCCGGGCTGCAGGAGGAAACACAGCAAAAGCTATGCCAAGAAGCCCTCAGGAGTGTTCTGCATCCTGAGATGGGCCCTGCGTTGATTCAGGGTAAGTTGATGCTATGCAGGCAAACTATAAAAGAAAACTATAAAAAAATGAATACTCTACATCTTCCCTCCTCTTTCCTCTAGGTAAAATACAAAGATATAAATCAATACAACTGCTCTGGCTTTACTTATCTTTATCTCGCAGCTGGCGTCTTCACAAACCCTCTCGCTGATGCAGCAACGACAACAGAAGAAGAAGGAGAGGAGAACGGGGGATTCAACATTGGTAGCCTGATGGACAAGGCTGGGCGCTTGCCTGACTGCGTGGTTATATTCTTGTAAGCAGTTGCTGCTGGCATCGCATACTCAATATGTGTTTTTTCCTCTTAGCATCCGGGGGGTACTATAAGACCCTCACTACTACACCACGCCGAGCAGTGTACGTGCAGATGCACGGATGAGGTCGGAGTGTCGCGGTGTCTAGACTTGGAAAAGATAGATAGAGAAGCAGAAGAAAAGAAAAGGCGAGAAGCAATGGAGAGAAAGCAGGTTCGCCGCAAGCCAGCTGCTGCACTGCATAGCTCTGAACACACACAAAAAAATTTCTTCAGTGGGATATGTAGAAATACTGGGGGCTGCCGCCTGCTGCATGCGTCTGTGGAGTGCATGCATTCTCTTGACCCCAAAAGGGAGGAAACTGAGCACAAATGAAGCCAGCCTCTTCTTGTTAGGGTTTAGGGTTTAGGGTTTAGGGTTTAGGAGGGTTGTACTGGTCTGTGTGTTTGTGCAGAAACGGAAGAGCCGGCGTAAACCCCCCTCAGATTCATCGGCTGATGGGGACAGCGAGTCTGGGGCTGGGGTTGAGGATGAAGGAGCAGGAGCAGGAGAGGGTGAGGATGAGTTGCCAGCGTCTGAGAGAGCGAGACAAGAATTTCTTAGGGGAAAGGCTGCTCGCGATGCAGCTCTGCTGGAGTGCGCCAAAAGCTTCGCCATGGCGGGGGTACCCGTGCTTACTGTGAGGTCTGAGCTCTGTGAGGGGACCCTGCTGGATGCTGTACGCGGCTTTCTTGAGAGATTTCTGAACTATAGGAGAAGCCTGCTGCTCAGCCCCCAATGTATTCCTCTTCCTAAGGCAAGTGACGGCACACATGTTTCGTTTTTCTNTTTTTTTTTTTTTTTTTTTTTTTTTTTTTTTTTTGGTAATTAACACCACAGATGATGCACAGGGAGATCTTGTTCTCTTCTTCTCGTGCAGCCAGCTGACTCTCCCCACTGTATCTGTCGCTGTTGCTGCAGTCCTTCTGCCAACGCCTCCTTCGCTGTCGAGCTGTGAGGCTCTCTAAGTATCTTCTCTCCACGCCCATGGATGTAGACGCCATGGTAAGCTATACTGACATTTCTTTGTCTCTCTCTGCGTGGCGTGACGCTGGCAGTGCTATCGGGGGAACCTTCTCCCCCAGTGTTTGTTGTTCAACGCATGCATGCATGCATGCATGCATGCATGCATGCATGCATGCATGCATGGGGCTTTTTCTCTATTATGGCGTGAGAGCCGTAGACATATGTTGTATTCCTAAGCAAGCACCGCAGCACTGTGCTTTCTCGCAGCGGCTCAAAGACTTCTCCGAATACCCCGTACTCTTCAGGGATCGTGTATACTTTCCTGCTGAGACAGAAGAGGAACGCAGGATATTTTGCCAGACCCCATCAAAGTTTCTTACGGGGACAAATCCACCACCAAAGAGACATCTCCCTGCATGCGTTTTCTTGGGCCCACTAAACAGCAACCGCACGCTGGTGAGTTTCTAGCGG